TAGAACCCACGTTAATATATACATAGCTATATTGTTATTTTGGTACTTTACGTAGAATAGACGTAAAGATTAGGTTTATGCATTTTAAATATATTTTTAGCTCAAACTTTATTTATAGATATAATATTGTTTATGAATATATACTTACAGTAAATGTGAAAATTCTTTATGCAATTTGTTCCGGATTTATCATTTATATTTAATTTATATTTATCATTATATTTATTTATATTTAATATTAATTATATTTATAATTAATCTATCGTTATTTTTATGTGTGTCTCATTACGTTTTTATCATACCTATTTAATGGTATATAATTTTTTGTTGGTCTAATTACGTGAACAACTGTCTCTCCTAGACTTATGTCAACTGATCAGTGAGTATCGATAATGTTTTCAATAGGAAATTAACACCGAGAAACGGAGAAATAGTTAATTAGTTGTTGTGTATTTTTCCACAAAGCAGAGAGTGGTACAATAGGATCAATATGAGGGTACTTACTTCTGAATAACTAAGTTGACCATCACGAAATAATATTATCTGAACACTTTTTTATTTCGAATTCCTTAACTCCTGTAACATGAAGATCAAATTAAGTAAAGCATTCATTAATATTATGTGAACATTATGTGTCAGAGCATGGTTACATTCAGTATCGTCTTATTTTGTGAAGAGAGAGAAAATAATTATGGTATACACTTTTTCATCTATCACATCTGTTACTTTAATTCTATTTAAAGTTAATGACGACTGTAAGAGACTAGTACCTCAAACTGGTATAATACACACAGATAAGTGATAAATAGGACTAGAGATTGGCTTCATATTCATTTATTAATAGCTTAAACAATTTATCAGCTAAATAATCCACAATAATGAATTAGTAAGAAGAAGATTACATATGGTTCAAAGTTACATAAATATAAAATGAAACGTCGTGAACACAACAGCTAAATTATACATTATATCTCAATATGAAGCTTTATTGAGATTTTGGCACCATGGCTTGATATTCC